TATGGGTCGTTCTCTAAATTAGGGTACCTTTTAGGGCCGTACTGTTTTGGGGGTTTAAAAATAGACCCTGATTTCGAGAACTACCCTTATAAATCTAAGCAGGGTTCCTCTGATGATGAGTCTTACTTTGGGATCCTAGGATAAGTACCCTAAACCCTAAACCCCTATACTCCTAAACTCCTAAACCCTAAACCCTAACCCCTAAAAACTAAACCCTAAACCCTAAACCTTAAACCCTAAACCCCAACGCCCGACTACTGCAGGCGGCTGTCCTTCCGAGGCGGCTGTTCGCACACGCTGCGGCCATGGTGTCTGGGCAGCTTTCTGTGTCTACCCGGCTTGACCCCTTAAAAGGGGTTTAGGGTTTAGGGTTTTAGGGTTTTAGAGTTTAGGTTTTAGGGTTTAGGGTTTAGGTTTTAGGTTTTAGGGTTTAGGGTTTAGTGCGTATGGTTCAGGGCTTCGGGTTTCAGGTTCAGTGTTTGGGCTTTAGGAGCTTTCGGCATCTACCGGGCTTGATACTTTAGTCAAAATGTGTCATGGTTATTGTCAGGATCAGGGTACGACAAGGGTCTTGGGTTTTGGGGTATGAGGGTCCATGTACATGCATATTATGTAGGTACGTGTGTATACATATACATATATATATATATATATAGTATACATACTTCGGCCCTGCGTGGTGCCGACAATATGCATAGAATTTGCAATGCCAAAACATATGACTTGAAGGTGCATGAACTCGGGTTTAGGGTTGTGGGTTTAGGAGGGGGAGGGGAGGGATTCCGTAGGTTTCTAGGGCTTATGTGGTGCAGTCTTGGGTGGAAGACTGGGGTTTAGGGTTTAGGGTTTAGAGTTTAGGGTTTAGGGTTTAGGGTTTAGGGTTTAGGGTTTAGGGTTTAGGGTTTATGACCCTCCGTTATTCTGTATTATTCTCTGGGGGCCACCTGATGTACGAGTACGGCCGACGGTCTAAACCCTAAAGCCTAAGACCCCAATTAACCTTAAGCCCTCAACCCTCCAAGCCCTAACCCGTAAGCCCCAGAAGTCTTAAACGCGAAACCCTGAGACCCTAATTAGCCTTAAGCCCCAAACCCTACACCCTACGATATGACTAAACCCTAAACACCAAGCCATAAACCCTAAGATCCTAAACCCTATCAGCCCTAAACCGTAAGCCCTAATAGCCTTATAGCTCTAAAACCCTAAACCCTAAACCTTAAACCCTGAACCCTAAACCCTAAGCCCTTAACCTTAAGCCCTTATCCCTATGAGCCCTCAACCCTTCCTCTTTCGTTTTTTGTGAACCCAGGCTTCGGCGCACAGTTGATGCGCCAAGCCGAGCTGGTTCGCTTGAGACCCGGTTTGTGGTTTAGGATTCAGGGGTTTAGGGGTTTAGGGTTTAGGGGTTTAAGGTTGAGTTCAGGGTTTAGAGTTTAGGATTGAGGGCTTGGGGCTTAAGCTGCTTGGGGTTTATGGGTTTAAGAGAGACGCTCCGGATTGTCAGCTATGCGATGAAGTGAGGTGAAGTTTAGGGTTTACAGGTAGTTAGGGTTTGGGGTTTAATGTAGGAACCTGATTAAGAAACCCTAGCCCTATAACCCCAATATATTAGTGCTCATATGGGTGGTTGTCGAAATTATTGTCCCTTTTTGGGTCCTTATTATAATACGGCACCTATTATTTAGGGTACCCCAAAAGGGACCCTAATTTTGACAACCACCCATATGAAGAACCCTAGTATAGGCCAGCTTTAGGTTTCTTCAGGGTTTAGGGCGGGGTCCGTCACCCATCTCTAGCGAGATCCCAAATAAAGGGGCCTCTGTAACTAGAAGAGGATTCCTTTAAAGCTTTCTGGCCCAAGGTCAATTGCAGGTTTCGGGGTGTTATAGAGCTTGTGAGGGTTGTGCTTGGTTTTCGTTCTATGGGGCTTGAAGGTTTTTGCATGTTTTCTTGTCGCGCGGGCTTTATGTGGGTTTTACTTGTCTTTACGTCATCGACACGGTTTCAGGGGGGATTTGCAAGGGTTTTCTTGTGGTTCTGTCTTGCAGAGGCTCAGGTGGGTTGCTTCAACGGGTTGACAGAGATGTGTTTGTCTAGGTGCGGGAGTTGCGGGCTTGGGTATCACATTTGGGGGTGTAGGATTAGGGTCCAGGGTGGGGTTTAGGGGGGTTTAGGGGTTTAAGGTTTGGGGCTTAGGAACCCTTTTAGGATTTTAAGGCTTGATATAGGTGCTATCGGCACATGGACCCTTAGGCAGGGCTATCGTTGAACAGTGATCCCGGCCCAGCTGCGTGGACTCAAATAGACCAACTTACATGGAATTTTGAGAACGAGCTCGATCAGGTACTTAGATTTCGGAGAGTAGTTATGTAGGGTACTAGGGTACTATTTGGGAGAGTATGCAATTACAAGGAGCTTGGACCCTTGGGGTCATAGCCTGATCACCACGATGGTGATGTTAGCATCCGAACCTTGTCACTCATTGCAGGCCCACGTTGAATTCGGCGAACCAAAACCACGAAGTCACACGGCTGTCATAGACACTGCTAATGTCATCAATCATGCTACTCGCTTTATCAGACACAGCAGCAACGGCGGTTAACGTATTGGCAGGTGCTTCTTCGTGATATGCTGTGCGGCCGCTAGCAGTTCAGAAATTGTACCACGCAGCGGCCGCAACGAACATACCGGTGCAACAGCAAAGCTGCGAAACGAAAGTAACAAACGATCGTAGCATTGTCAAGAGATGTGGTGCAGCGAAACATGAAGCCAGCAATTGCATGAGCCTGCACAAGCTACATTCGAAGGCTCTAGCATATAGTTAGGCCTTAAGGTAGCCTTTCTAGAAACCCCACTAGGGCTAAGCCCAACACCCTAAACCCCTTAAAGGCTTAAGTGTGTGCTATATGGGCACCTGGAGCCTTAAGGAAAGCCTAAACCCTTACACCTTCCGAGCGCAAAGTGCCTAGAAGTCTCTGAGCACTAATATAGGGGCCTAAATATTTACCTATGCCTTTTTTTTTGGGGGTTCATTATCATTATAGTATAGTATCATGGGCCCCAAAACCTTATTCTAATTATTGAGGCCACAACGTTGAAGAACCTACTTCTTCGGGGTCTGCCTGTTGTTGCTTATGTAGGGTTTGTTCGTTTAATGTTTAGGGTTTGGGGCCTAGGGTTTATTGTTCAGGGTTTAGGGTTGAGGCTTATGGCTGAATGAGTAGGGCTTAGGCTTTAGGGTTTAGGTTTTTAGG